GAGGAGAACCCCCCCCCCCCCAGGTCCGCTGGGTGCAGGGGTGAGCTGTGGGGTGAGCCGTGGGGTGAGCCACGGGGTGCCGGCTGCCTTCCCCGGCACCAGGGCCATTCCCTCTCACCGGGGTCTGTCCCTGCACTGCGGGGATGGTGCCCAGGGCGGCACAGAGGGGTCCTGCCACGCTGGCACACTGCAGGCAGGGCTCAGCTCGCTCAGGCCGCGCTCGGGGCTGAAGGAGAGACCCGTGGTGGCACCAGCACGGTGCCAAGCCCGCGGTGACACATCCCTCTCCCCGGCTTGGAGATGCACTGACGCAGCCTCTGCTCCGCTGGAGACGGGTCGAAGCAGGCAGAGGTCTGCCCGCAGTGCCTGGTGCGGGCAGCGCAACGAGCTCTTCGCCAGCGCAAGGGCAGCGTGGCGTTGGGCTGCCTGCGCCCTGCCCACCCCGAGCCGGGTGGGCTCGAGGAACGGGCAGAGCCGGCAGAACGGCTGGCGGAAGGGCGAAGGAGCTTCTCCGGGACGTGGTGATGGGGAACGACCGCCTCACGGCCTCGCTGGCCAAGGACTGCCTCGTTAGCAGCGACCACATAACGAGTGGTGTTCTGAGGGAATTACGCCAGCCCCCCGAGCCCTCCCCGGTGCTGGCGTGTTCAGGCGTGGTGACGCCGGTGCAGCGGGAGATGCTCCTGCCGGTGCCTGAGCCGCACCGCCTCCATGTGACAGAGGAGCCGGGATGGGCCGTGGCCGAAAATCAGCCCCGGCATCCTGGTGGGGTGGGCAGGAGGGATGCCTCTGCGCTGCGATCTCCCTGTCCGTGGGCTGTCACCTGCGACGGCCTGAGGGCCACCACACCTTTCCACCCGACCGGGGCGGCCCAGGGCTCTGCTGCGGGGAACGGCACGTTGTGCTGTGCTGGCAAGGGGCTCCTGGGGCTTCGGGTGGGGAGGGGAGTGCAGCACTGCCCAGGGTCTCACCCCTTGGACCAGGCACGGATTTGTGCCCCGATGGCAGGGGACACTCATGGGGTGGGACTGGCCCACAGGAGGGGGGCAGAGAGGAGCGGGAGATGGTGGTGGGGCTCACCCAGCCGAACGCAGGCGCCTGCGCCGAAGCTCTCCGGGGCTCCGACGGGCTCCGGTGGGAAGGACAAGGTGAGAGAAAGCACCCACAACTGGGAGGGACTGGAGGAGCCAGAGATGTCTCCTGGCTGGAGCGGGAGGAGAGCTGTGTGCCGCGGACCCCCGGGAACACGGGGGAGACCTCTGCCGGGTCCCTCCAGCCTGGATGGGGAAGGCCAGGGCTGCCTGGACATGGGCTGGGGATTCCCGAACACCAGGTGGAGGCTGCAGCCCCGCGCTGCCGTGCCCGGCACGCGAAGCCCTCCTGACCCAGCAGCACCGGCTCCCCAGCCGATGTGTGGGGCCGCCCCACGCTGCAGGGAACGGGTTGTGGCACCCCAGCACAGGGTAGGTCAGGGATTTGGGGGTTCCCTGTCCTGTTCTTGCCCAGCATCTCCCGGCTTCTTAGCAGGGCTTTCCCCACTGGAGGACCGTCCTTTTCCCACCCCTCAGCTGTCGGCTCCCGCAGGCAGCACCGTCCCTTGCCTCGGGGTGGCACAGGCAGGTGCTTCTCCTGGCATGCACCAGTGCATGCTCATTCCCTCCCGGGACATGCCAGTGGACACTCTCATTCCCTCCCGGGACACGCCGGTGGATGCTCATTCCCTCCTGGGACACACCGGTGGATGCTCATTCCCTCCCGGGACATGCCAGTGGACACTCTCATTCCCTCCCGGGACACGCCGGTGGATGCTCATTCCCTCCTGGGACACACCGGTGGATGCTCATTCCCTCCCGGGACA